TTTGCATCTAATGCTGCCTTTTTGTAACCTTAACCCAAGACACAAGGAAATCGTGTTGGAAATTTGTATGTTATCTGTTTTAAGAATGCTTGGTCACTGAGAAGGCAACAGACCCTATTTAATATATTCGGGGATCATGTGTGGGGAGATTATTCAGCATACCCTTAATTCTAAACTTATTTCCTGTTCAACACGTAAAAGACAAAGGATTCTGGTGAATGTTTTGCAGACCTTTCCACTTCTGTTTGCATTAGAAGATAGGTCCTGTCCAGAGCTCTGGTAGCATAGTGCCTAACGCACTTGACTGCTAACCAGAAGGTTGGTGGTTCAAACCCACCAGCCACTCCTTGGAAGGAAGATTGGGCAATCTACTTCCTTGGAAACCCAAGGAGGGGTCACTACAAGTAGGATCTGACTCGATGCCAGTGAGTTTGATTTGGTTTTTTGGTTATCCAGAGTAAGAATAAGAGAAGGTGAGAAACAAGAATTAGTCAAGGATCCCTACCTAACTTTATGAAATTATTGCCTCTCTTGACTCCAACAAAGGAGCTCTGGTGGTGTAGTGGTTAAGGCATTTGGCTGCTAAGCAAAATGTCTGTAGTTTGAACTCACCAGCTGCTCTGCAGAAAAAGGATGAGGCAGTCTGCTTCTGTAAAGATTTATAGCCTTGGAAACCCAGTGGGGGTCACTCTGAGTTGGAATCAACTCGATGGCAGCGAGTTTGGTTTGGTTTGGAGGCTCCAACAGGGCTGAGGTGAAGCAAGTGGATGACTTGCCTCAGGTAGAAAATTTAAGCGTTGCCAATAATTCAGTAATAAAGATAAATATTATTTTAATACAATATTTAAAATTATTTTAAATTTGGATATTTTACATTTTTATTTTTTAAAATATTGCTTTGAAATATTATTTATCTTGATTACAGAGTTTATTGGCACACCTCAATTTTGGTCTGACTTAAGGGCCTCATTTTATGCTCTGGTCCTGGCCTGACTTCCTAAATGTATTTTCAGAATCTCAAGCTCTGTTTGCTATTTTCTCCCAACACACCTGTGGAGTCATGCCTCATGATGAGGAAAAAAAAAAATAATAAAAATAATAGAACTGTGGAATTAAGAAGCAACTATACAAGGAAAAAGTCTTAGTGATCAAATAAATTAAACAGCAATGAGATATTCCACTTGTGCTTAGACAAACTGACAAATTTAAAAATACAGTAACCATTGCTAGTAGAAGTGGCCATTATAACACACAACTTTTAAATCCTGACTTTTTACATGTATATAATTGCAATGGTTCCTAATATTGCATTTTAGCACCACTTCTACCTATTGTTGCTGTTAGGTGCTGTCAAGTTGGCTCTCTGACTCATGGTGACCTTATGCACCACAGAATGAAACACTGTCTGGTTCTGTGCCATCCTGACAATCCTTGCTATGCTTGATCACATCATTGCAGCTGCTGTGTCAATAATGTTTGCATCTATTTCTTCCCATTTTGAGTCATGCCCATCAGCAAAAGAAGGTCCCAAAAGCTTTACTCCATCCACGTCATGAAGGTTGACTCTACTTTGAGGAGGCAGCTTTTCCCCAGTCTATTTTGAGTGCCTTCCAATCTAGGGGCTCATGTCCTGGCACTATATTAGATAATGTTTCACTGCTATTCTTAAAGTTTTCCAGTCACATATGTTTCACTGCTCTTCTTTTTTCAGTTGCCGATTTTTTCAGAAGTGGATGGCCCCGTCCTTCTTCCCAGTCTTAGTCTGGAAGCTCCACTTCTACCCACCCACTGCCATCGAGTTGATTCCGACTCACAGCAACCTCCGTTGGGTTTCCAAGGCAGTAAAACTTTACGGCAGTAGATTGCCTAGTCTTCCTTCCATCTAGTGGCTGGTGGGTTTGAACTGCCAACCTTCTGGTTAGCAGTCAAATGCCTTAGGCACTGCACCACCAGAGCTCCTTCCACTTCCACTTCTACCTAGCTAACTGTTGTTGTTATGTGCCGTAGAGTTGAACTCAACTCATAGCGACCCCTCCTTGGGTTTCCGAGGCGGTATCACTACGGAAGTACATTGCCCAACCTTCTGAGGAGTGGCTGGTGGGTTTGAACCGCAAGCCTTCTGGTTAGCAGTCAAGTGCCTCAAGCACTATGCTACCAGAGCTCCCACCTAGCTAACTAGCTAACTATAATTCATGATTTCCTAGAAATGAGGATGGCGAGAGTGTCTCACTTACTTTGGACATCTTGTCAGCAGGAATCAGTCCCTGGAGAAGCACATCATGCTTGATAAAGTTGAGAGCCAGCACATAAGGGGAAGACCCTCAACAAGATGGATTGATACAATGGCTGCCAAGAATGGGCTCAAACACAGTAACAATTACCAGGATGGTGAAGGACTGGACAGTGTTTCATTCTTTTGTACACAGGGTCAGTATGAGTTGGAATCAACTCAAAGGCACCTAACAACTACAACTGGCACTTAACTGCACAATTCAACAGGACCAGATACTGGCAAAAACTTGTAAACTCCCTAAGGGCTGCGACTCCACCAGCCTTGCCTGGCCCTCAGAGACAAAAGGATCTTTCACAATTGCATTGGGACCTTTCTGATCTGTGTGGTGCGTTTGATATCCCGCTGTTCTAGAAGAATGCCTCCTCCCTTGCCTTTAAACCTTAAAACAGGCAATGATAAGCTTTTCCACTCAGAAAAAGTGACTAGAGGATAGTTTTTAACTTTTGGTCTACACTAACCAGACCTATCAGAGAAGCAGTCCATTTATCACAATTACCACGAAACAAACTCCGTGACTAGCGATTTGGCAGATGCGTAAAGGCAGAGGTTTTCTTTTTCCATATGCACAATCCCTTCTTCTCAGGTTGTGGAGGCGAACTCTTCTCAGTGCAGTTCTTGTAAGGGGTCCAGCCAGCGTCACGCCTCTTGGCCCCCGCCCTCCCAGGTCCCAGTCCTGGGCACAGGGCTGTCCCTCGTCCGGCCGCCTGAGCTGACCTGGATCTGTTGTTGTTGTTGTTATGTGCCGTCGAGTCGGCCCCGACTCATAGCGACCCCTCCTTGGGTTTCCGAGGCAGTATCACTACGGAAGTAGGATTGCCCAACCTTCCTTCCCAGGAGTGGCTGGTGGGTTTGAACCGCCAGCCGTCTGGTTAGCAGGCAAGTCCTGGATCTTGGTGGAGGAAATTCTTCTCCAGCAGCCTAGGCTCGCATCACGTGACCAGCCTCCGCCGCGGCTCCCAGCGAGAGTTTAAAGGTTATGGAGGAAAACAGCTTCTCTCCTCCCGGAGGGCGCGCCCCATTTACTCGAATCCCGGACGGCCGCTGTCAGCGCGTTGATCAAAGCCTTGCCCCCCAAAGGTCATAGACAAGGCCCACTGTCAAAATGAAGAGTCACTTTGTAAAAGCAAACACAAAACAAAACCGGAGTTCTACCAAGATTTCTTTTGTCAACAAGTTCTCGCAATCCAAGAAGACCATAACAATCCCAAAGTGGAGAATGCTCTCAAAGGAAGAACTGAAATAATACATTTGAAAAACCACACTGAACCTAGCACGCCCCTTCCTCTCCCCCTTCCTCCACCACCACGGAGCAGAGCGTCCTGGTACAGAATGACAGACAGAGAGACCAATACTCCAAGGGCTGCTCTCGCAGGCCACTGCCCGGCTGAGGGTGGGGCTGGGGGAGGTGCCCGACTCTTATCAGGAAACTCGACCCCCGCTCTCCTCGGCCCTCCCTCCGTTTCTACCCCGCCTCAGCTTCTAAAAGACAGGGTCGGACCTAGAGACAGAGGTTCGCGGCCTTCTAGTTTATCAGTCCAGAACCAAAAATCCCGCATAACATCTGCGGCTCTCGCACTCCCCGCCCCCAACCACACCACTCCCAGGGTTCCCGCGCTGGGTCTCTACTGGGCTTCCCCTTCAGCAGTCGCGACCCGGGCCGGCTCGCCTGCTCTTTGCAGTTCTCTCCTCGGCTCACTTTACAGTATTGCTCCCCCAACCGGCAAAACTTTCTATTTCCCTAAATACAGCCGCGCGCACTCGCGCGCGCGCGCGTACACACATATACACACACACACGCGCGCACACACACACACATACACACTCACACACTGACGTCTTTTGCGCATTTCCTGCATTAGAGGGAGGGAGACTCTCTCGCACACCGACGGAGGGAGAAGACTGAGAGGGAGAGCAGCGGGCGGGCAGTCGGGCAGCGAGCGAGCGGGAGCCTAGAGCAGGGACTCGGGGAGCGCAGCGGGCGGGCGCCGGCGCCGAGGAGGTGGGGCCGCGCCGAGTCGCAGTCCCGGCCCCGCCGCCGCGCTGCGTACCGCCCGGTGCCGGCCTGCGCCCGGAGCCCGAACTGTGGCCACTCGGACTCCCCAACCCGCGCGGATGTGATTCCCGGCTCTTGGCGTCTCCAGCTCGCCGACTGCGGCGCAGCGCTGCTTCGCCGTGGAGGCGGCGGCGGGACTGGGTTTGCGGCTTGTGGATTTTTAAAAATTTGTCTCCGTGGAGGACCATTTCCTCTCAACATGCATCCCTCCGGATAGACTGAACATCCCTTGGTTCATTCCCCGCCCTGCGCGGTCAGAAGCAGGCGCTGGGTGTGCGAAGAGGATCCGGGTTGAATTCTGCGCCCCCCAGTACTCATCCTCGCCCAATCCCACCGTGTGCCCCCCTTCTGGGAGTCGAAATTTCCCGGGGATTATGTTTCGGAAAGGTAGGTAAGCGCCGGACGCGGCGCCCGCCTCCCGGCAATCCGGACCCAGAGAGTCAGCGAGGCGGAGGCAACCCCGGCGGCTTGCAGCGGAGCGGACAGCTAGTCTCCTCTTCTGGAGGTGTTGCTGGTGGTAAGGGAGGGGGGGAGAGACTTGACCCAAACACGGACGTCCCACAGCTCTCCCCCCCTCCCTGTTTTCCGTTAGGAATCCGGCTAGGAAATACATGCACTCGCTGAGAATCACCCACGCCAGGGTGCAACACTACAAGGTGTAGGGAGTGTGTGGGGTAGAGTAAGAGGGGACTCAGAAGTCCCAGTATCTTGGAGCGCCGGGCCGTCGATCCTTCATTCCTGCCCTCGGGGCAGACAGAGTGACCCCGGCCCCAGTCCCCGCCCTGACCATGGTAGTGTTCAATGGTCTTCTTAAAATTAAAATCTGCGAGGCCGTGAGCTTGAAGCCCACAGCTTGGTCGCTGCGCCATGCGGTGGGACCCCGGCCGCAGACTTTCCTTCTGGATCCCTACATCGCCCTCAACGTGGACGATTCGCGCATCGGCCAAACAGCCACCAAGCAGAAGACCAACAGCCCGGCCTGGCACGACGAGTTCGTCACCGACGTGTGCAATGGGCGCAAAATCGAGCTGGCCGTCTTCCACGATGCCCCCATCGGCTACGACGACTTCGTGGCCAACTGCACCATCCAGTTCGAGGAACTGCTGCAGAATGGGAGCCGCCACTTCGAGGACTGGGTGAGTCGGGGTGCCTCCCGACCAGGAGCCCAGCTGTGGGGTCCTGGGAGAAGAAGCGCTGGCCTTGGCTTTGGTCGTGGGGCGCGGAGGATTTAATGCCTTCTGGGGTATGTGTGTTTATGCAAGTCTCAGTTTCCTTGGTGAGTCACGCTCCACCTCGTAGTTGGGGAGTAGGTAATGGAGCAAGAAAGACGGGATTTGGTAAGAGGATACTGCTCTTTGCCCTCTTTTTCCCCTCTGGCTGGCGGATGCTGCAGGGGGTAGTCACAAGCTGGGAGAGTCTTCTGTGGTGAAGGATGGGTTGGTCAAGGACCCGGCGCGCCGTACGTAGGCGCGCAGTGGGATGGCAGTGTGTGGGTGGGTCCCTCAGTCTTTGGAGAGGCACGTGGAGCCTTAGACTGACGGCTTCTTGCACGTCCTGGCTTTGTCCTGCATAGTGGAGTAAAGAGTTGCTTTTCTCTCAGGGAGGAAGCTTGCCTGTTTCTATTCCATTGCGTGACGATTTGTTCATATTCGGATATACATGGAAAAAAATTGTTCTCCAGGATGTCCTCACTAGGGTCCCAGAAACATCAGTTGAGCTTGTTTTGCCCAATTCATTTATCATCCATCCAGAGTGAAGCCTGTATTTTAAAGATGCTTTTGCTTATGGGTAATTAGAAACCAGTACCTTGAATCCTATTTAAAGTTATATTGTTGTTCTGTATTGATTTTCAAGATCCTGTGCAATGAGATGCTATTTCTAAGACTGAGATTGAGTTCACTGATCACACTGTTAAAATATTAGGGAATTGGACGAAGGCCTCATCAATGTACTGTCAATCAGTGCATTCAACCTTGGCACTCTGGAGAAGCAAGCTCTTCTTTGAGGGCTGGTGTTAAATTTGGAAATGGATTTCTGTTATTTTCAGGTTTGTTACTTGTTTCTGTGAAAAGCAGATGTAGCTATGGGTGTATGTTTTCAGGCTTCTTTGTCATCTACAAAGATAGTGGATCCTTATGGAGAGATGAAGAGGAATCACCTTCATTGTCCTGTCAATGGTCCCTGGGTGTCAGAGGTTGCATATGAATCACTTTTCATGTAACTTCAACTTTGCTTTTTTCTTCTCCAAAGGAGATAGAGTTTTAGGGAAAAATATGAAAAGCCTGTTATCTTTATGCTCACGAATATGATGTATGTAGACTATCTGAGACCATGCTTATGATGCTTAACAGGGAAGCTCCAACAAGCTACATCAGCACATCCCTAAGAGAATCATGACTTACACTTAGGAAAACAGGCAAACCTTTATGGAATCCCAAAGAACACAATGCCATTCCATTCCATTTAAGTGTCCCTCCCCTCCCCTCTCTCCAACCACCACACATCCCCATTTCCTTCATACACATGGCCTAAGTCCTCTACTCACGTAAGCTGTGCATGTCTGATGGGGAGATAAGGGGATAACTAATTTTAGTGCCAAATCTTAATACTAAAAGCCTGTGATTTACCACTTTTATTTATTTATTTTCATAGAATATGTGGGGAAAGAAAAACATGTGACTGTGTGGTGAGGACATGGGGCCTTCTACTGTGTTTCAAATGCAGGAAGTTGGGCAGCGGGCTGAGAGCAAAGAGGATGAGTGCTTTTATTTTAGGTCTGCTTTTATTCTCACAGCTGATCTTAGTTGCAGTGAGAGTGACCCAGTGTCTGGTGATGCTTAACTGTGGCTCACCCAAGCATGGGTGGACCAGGGTACCATCCTCACCTTTCAGCACTTTTATTGAAGTGTGCAGTGGGCACTATATATGCTTGGTTACCATCCTCTAAGGTTCTGAAATTCATGTTGGATTGGCCCTAGACCACTAGTCCACAGGCAAAGAGAAGGTAATTGAGAAGAGAAGAAGAGATAATGTTCTGGGTATGGACATAGCTAGAATAAAGATAGAGAAAGCCTGTGGTTGGGGTTAGAGAAAGAGAAATTGAGAAGAGAAAATTGAGAAGGAAATTTGAAAGAGAAGGAAATTGAGTCCCAGAAGCGCTAAGTGGGTACCCATTACACGACAAGCAAAAGGGGTTTGGAAATAGAGCCCATACCTCCTGTTGCCCTGCTGTTGTCCACCTGTTGCCCAGTGGAGAGCACAGTCTCTTTGGCTCCACACTCTGCTCCACTTACAGATTTATGGCTGTTCCCATGATGTTTTTACTGTGTTTTCAGAATATGTTTTTGCCTTATGGTAAGTGTCAATTAAGTATGCCAGGTATCAGCCAGATTGAAAAGCTTGAGGTACAGAGAAGCCCAAAGTTGTAGGATGAATCAAGTAGTGGAGCTGATCCCGACCACTCTTCCAGCAGTCTTTTCACTAGAGGATGCTGTGACCATTCTGGCACCTCAAGACTGAAGAGAGGGGTGCATCAGCAGAGGTGACTGGCCCATGGAGTTGCAGCTGGACTGGCTAAGGTCATCATTCTCCTTTCACCAGCCAGGGTACACTCAGAATCACACCTTTGGATAGAATTTCTGGAGCTCAGGCATCTGTCCTCCTTATCTGGCAGTGATGAAGATACATCCTTTCTCAGGTGTGGTTAAGAACTCTGGCCTCCAGCTCAGAGATGGGAGGGCATGAGAAGCTGCTTCTCCGATTACTGCGGAACATTTAATCCAAGTCAATGTTGAATCCACACATCTTCACTGAGTTCCTGTTGTGCTCAGATTCCACCAGGGATGCTTAGCACTGTAGGTAATCAGAGGTAAAAGAGGCCAAGTGTTACTCTCAAGGGGCTTCCATATCACTAGGAAATGACACTAAGCAGATTCATATAAACATTTAAGTAGCAAATTAGATTCCAAATAATTGGTACCATCAGTATATTAAAAGCATTCAGAAAGAGAGATGCTAGGTAACAGGGAGGAGGAAGTACCTGAATTGGGTTTGAAATGCATTCAAATAGTTAGCTAGAAGAAGAGATAATGTTCTGGTTATGGACACAGCCAGAATAAAGATAGAGAAAGCCTGTGGCTGGGGTTAGAGAAAGAGAAGCATAACAGAGATTGAAGGTACCCCTTAGAAAGGACCAGGACAAGCTTTTCCAAATTTAGGTCTTGCTGTATCTGTGTGAACTTTTGTCTGAGTACCATTTTATCTGAGTGCTATTATTAATATATATGTATATTTAATTTAGTCCTTTATTTTTCCACTTAGCCTTCTCTTAAGTCCCAGTATTCATGAAATCATAGGTTCAGATACTGTAGTTATAACTTTTCCTCATTCACATTAAAATAAGCATGCAGACTCTAAAAAAGAAAAGAAGTTCATCCTAGGTACCACTTAAAATCATTAGTGGTATGGGGGCCACACTTTGGAAACACTGGAGTAGCAGAAAGTTGAGAAAACTGAGCTGGATTATAGAATGTTTAAAAGCTGTTCTGAGATAGTTATTCTTCAGATAATGAGAGACGTTTCAGTTGTGATGACAAAGGGAGTTGCTTTAGAGAAAGCTCATTACAGAGAGAAGAGAAGATTTCATTTGTGCTTGAAGCAGAATTCCATTAAACAACATCGCTTAGCTGGGTTTTCTAAGAACTAGATAATAACACTACTCAGACTTTGATGTGCAGAAGAATCACTAGGGGAGGGTGTTAAAAATATACATCCTCAGGTCTTGCCTCCAGAGTTTTTGTGGTTTGGGGTCAGTGCTAGAAATTCATCTTTTTAACAAGCTGCCCTCATGATTCTGAGCAGACCATGCTTTGAGAAACACTGGGCTGGAATAGAAACTTGGGCAGGGAAGGCTCCAGATAATTAATGTATCAAGCTTTAGTACACAGAGTATCCTGAACTTTTATAGTAATTATTGTGGCTCTTCATGATTCTTAAGGAGCTCTGGTAGTATAGTGGTTAAGGCATTTGGCTGCTGACTCAAATGTCAGTGGTTCAAACCCACCACCTGCACCACTGAAGAAAGATGAGGTAGCCTACTTCCATTAAGATTTACAGCATTGGAAACCCAGTGGGGGTCACTATGAGTTGGAATCAACTCAGTGGAAGTGCGTTTAGTTTGGTATTGGTTTATAATTCTCAAAGCAAGATTTATAAGCATAATTGTGTGAAGTAGAAGTATTGGGATTCATTGAACCACAAGCTGAATAAATATTGGATGGAGTTGCATTTGCATTTAGGTTAGATGGGGAGAAGAGAGCAGGGTGAGGGCTGGCATACCAGTTAGAACTCAGCTTTGCTCTATCGCTTCCTCAGTAGACTGTTTACTGAACTCAGCCACTTTTTGCTCCCCCTCCCCTGCTTCCGAAGAGATCTTTAGCTCATCCTGTAGAAGAAGTGCTCATAATACAGTGGTAATGGCAGAATGTCATCTTTTGAAAGCTGGTTTAGCAGGGCCAACAAGCTCTGTTGGCATAGTGGTTAAGCCCTTGGCTGCTAACCGAAAGGTCTGTGGTTTGAACAGCTCCATGGAAGTAAGATGTGGCAGTCTTTTTCTGTAAAGATATATGGTCTTAGAAACCCTATAGGATAGTTCTACTCTTTCCTATAGGTCACTATGAATCAGAATCAACTTGATGGCAGTGAGTTTCAGCAGAGCTGTTAAGGGCATAGCTTTGGAGACAGGCTGCTTGGAGTTTGAATCCTGCCTCAGCCACTAGGAGTTTTGTGACCCTGAATATGCTACTTTCTGTTCCGTCATCTTTAAAAAGTGGATGAGCATTACGTGAATGAACTTGGAGAACATTATGCTGAGTGAAATGTCAATCACAGAAGGATAAATATTGTATTAGTTCATTATGGTAAAAAGGCAAGGAAAGGTTTATATATGGAAGGAAACTTTCTTTGTTGGTTACCAGGGGTAGGAGGGGAGGGGAGGGAACACTGCAAACATGAAAAATAATAAGAAAATAAAAAGTGGATAATAGTAGAATACCTTCCTATAATAACAATGGTTTTGTTAGGGAACAGGAGGGCTGAACTCCCTGGGTAGCACACATGGTTGTTGTTGTTGTTGTTG